TAAGATTGTCGAGCTCAATAGCTATCATCTTTGTCCTCTTTCCAGATACCATGTGTTCCTTAGAGTCACCAATTCCGCAGAGAAATCCAATAACGTCTGCAAATAATTTGCATGAGTAGTTATAGAAGAATAAAAGTGCATTAGAAGAAATGGAAGAGACGTTACCTACTAAACATGCCGTGTCATTAGGATAGCTTTCAATATCCTCGAATTCCATGAATGAAAAACCGTTAATAGGAAGAATGGCATCAACAATCGGTGTCACAACAGTTCTCAAATTGAAAGTAAGCCTATACTCATGTTGTGTTGGCTTAAATTTGTCATTATTAAGGCCAACACCAAAATTACGTATGACATACATTCCACCTTCTGCTAATTGATCTCTTATCCTCAATGACCCGCGGACAGTAGCCTGAATCTTGCCACCCTATTAAAAAGCAGGAAGCATCTACTGATTATTAGAAACAGTAGAAAAATAAATGTAATAAGTGCATCAAATGATAATGTCTGAGTCCTTGTTGCTTTCGAACCTAATTAAGCTTCATAAAGGTTAATCATATTCATGCAAGAAATATAATACAAAAAATATTTTGTAAAAACATAATTATGAATAACACATAACTGTTCCATTCTCTCAAATTAGAGTCAAAACAATTAATCAAATCCAATGACAATATAGGAAGGTTAAAATGTAAGTAAGCAGGAGGTGCGGAAGGATATGATAAATACAATCTAAATAACATTCATATAAGCGTCATGGTTTAAATAAGTTTATAGGCCCAGGAGATATATGAAAAGACATTATTTAATACTTCTTATGGATCCCCAATAATACAATATAGTTCATACAGGAACAAATTATTCCTTCAATCGAAAATCATAAGACACCATTACAGGAGGATACAAAGCTACCTTTATAAAGAATATAAACAAATGTGATGATAAATAGAATATAAAAAAATTCATAGAAGCATCAAGTTGTTATGATATAACACTCACTTACAGTTCTATATAGCAGAACCAAGTTAAAACAAAGGCGGAAAAACCATATAACATAGTTGGCTTCAGGAAAATTTAAAACATTCACTTACAGTTGTATACAACATAACCAAGTTTTACTAACCCCATTACCATCAATACATCAGAACATATAAAATACATGAAAGTAATACATTCCGAATATATAGTACAGTGGCACAAAAGGATAAATCTGCTTCGTGAAAAATGACCACAACAAAAACTGACCAAAACAATATAAATAAGAAAAAAAAACATACATGATCATCAATTAGAACCATCTCCACATTTTCGCCCATCTCCGGTCGATGAAAGTTCGGTTGCCTCCACAATCTGATAACCCTGACTTTGATTCTCCATTGCTCTTTCGATGGGGTCAAATCACGGATAACATCAACTTTTGCAGCCATTTGAGAGATTTTGAATCAGATAATTTGGCAACACAATGGAAAGGAAGGAAGAATGAAGAACAATTGCAAATGAGGAGAAGGTCATAATAAATGACGAAGGAATACCCTTAAACCTAGCGTGCTCAATACTCATAGAGAAAGACCAACGGTTTTGCATAGATAAATGAAAAACATTCATTGCAGATGTATTGTGCCCAATCGATGATCCTGAAGCAGCACGTAGGGAGGATAGGAAGGGTTTCACCGTCTTGATAACCGAAACAATAAATAACAGCAAGAGAATGGCAGTAGATGACGTGTTTGGGTAAACTCCCAACATAGATAACATAAACATCATTAGTACACATCAGCAGATATATATTTAAAATTTAAAATAAATTAATAGGCATAAATGTAATACATTTCACTTTTTAAAAGACATATTTCTTAAATAAAAGTTTCTATAAAAAGAAACTCATAGTGTGAACACAATTCTGATATTGAAGGAGGAGCTGCCACTTGTCAAAACTTTCCTCCAGTGGCTTTTCTCTTCTAATATTAAAGATTATGATTAAAACTAACAAATTAAGTATAATCAACCAATTCCTAAGCAGCAAAGTGACAGTTACCAACCTAAAATATTTGGTAATCCACTTAAATCTCACAACATACATATGGAATGATTCCACAAATGAATAATCTTACTTAATAATGCATCATGTTCCTCATGTTAACAACAAGAGCAATAGGTTGAGGGCAACCGATCTGGATCCATCCCATGTGAGATGTTAGGTCCAACCCATATATGGTCCAAGAAGCCCAACAACCAAAACTTAAAGGCTAAGGAAATGCGTCCATTCTGCGTTTTCGTCATCTTGTAGGCATACAACTACAATAACAACTTAGAACTCTAAAGCCATCCTACTAGCTAACAGCTAAAGGACAGACACATGATTCCAGGTGTACCTAAAAGATAGCCTATAAATAGGCATTCTGCATACAGGATAGACTGCAGAAGGCACCACAGTCCTGGTATAAGATACAATGGAGCCATACTAAGGTGGCCTAACCAGGACATCTAACCACTATATAATGGAGGCTTGAAACTCAGGTATAATCATCTTATCCATTTTTACTAAAGCTCGTTGACCAAACACTGACTTGAGCATCGGAAGGTTCCCCCCACATTTGTCTCAGTCAAACAAAGTTATCTAACTCCAACTCATCTATCATGCAGAAGTATCTCGCGGCGACATCCATCCGGAGAAGACTTTCTCATATCACTATTGGACTAGACTCAACCATATGTGGTCCAGCCCAATATCTCTTGAACTGATCCGTAAAAAAAATATTTGAGTAAAATGCGCTTTTAAAACAAAATAAATTAATTCAAACACACTTACAATTTTATAAAGAAAAATAAAAAATTCATATTTATAATTATATGAGTTCGTTAATTTATTATAATATCTGCCTACACTATTTAAGTTTATCTATACTGTATGACTCTTTGGAGAATAAGAAATTTTTATGCAGTGTAAAAATGTTTTACACTTGTATTTAATGATGTATTATTATATTATTTAATAAGGTCAGCATCCCTTATACTTATTACCAAAATCAAATCTACTACGAGGTGTTAATATAAAGTTAGAAAACAGTGTGAAAAGATATTTTATACTAATAATATATCAAAATTATACTTTAAGAATGATATATTATAATTTAAATAATTAACTAAAACTAATGTGACCTAATAAATACTTTATATGTTTTTAAACTTTATAATCAATATTTAAAAATATATAATATCATTAATTACTTCTCAAGTAATTTTCTTCTGCATTTGATAATAATATATAAAGGAAAAGTGTTTGTCTTTTTAAATGACATAAAATTATGTCATTTTAAGAGAGAGATAGACACAAAATAAAATTTTTTATTTAAAATTTAAATTAAAAAAAAATCACCCACTTTCTCTCTCTCATGATTTCTATTTTTTGTGTTTATCTCTCTCCTAAAATGACATAACTTATGTCATTTAAAATGAAAAACACCAAACCCAATATCTAATACTTACTCGGTTCATCAATTATCTCATAAATGTTCAAATTAGTTTACACACACATATACGCAAGTAGATTACGCCCTCTATTTCCCTTTGCTTGTCCCTTGCAATATCTCTTATATTTATTTTTTTCAATTCTTAGAAGGAGATAATGTCAATTTAAAGATGAAAGAAAGAGAATAAGTAAGAATAGTCTCCTCCGTATCTGATCACTCTTTCTTTATGTAAAATCCCATCCAAATACAAAGCATGAATTTAGTGAGAGAGAAGGGAAAGGGATCGATACAAGTTTTATGGTCCAGTTGTTTGCCCAAGTTGCACTTCTACTTTTGTCCAACGATGCCCACTTGAAAAAGTTACCTGAAAATATCCCGTATGGTCATACATTAAGGTATGCTCTCTCTTAAGTTTTTTTTTTTTTTTCCATCTATCTCTATGCATTAATTTTTTTAATTTTTTTTTCAAAAGATTGAAATATGTCATTTTTAATTTTTTTTTAGGTTTTTAAATTGAAGTTCTTTGTAATACTGAGCGAGATTTATAAACAAAATGATAGACTTGTCACGTCATGTTATATAGACAAACTTTGTTAATAAATTGAGTAACGTAATCTTTAGATCTTCAACAAATATCACACACCCAAATTAATCCTTTAAAAACAAGTTGACTCGTGATTTCTTTGCAATTCAAAAAAGATTCATGGTAACATGGATCTTCTTTGAATTTCAAAGGTTTTTTTTTTGTAAATAAATTTCAAAGGTTTTTGAATCCATAATAGCATGGATCTTATTTGAATTTCAGATGAACCACGATTTCAACTAATTATATCTATTTTGAATTTCAGAGAGAATACAAGTCAACTTTTTTTTCTTAAGAATTAAAATAATCCCGTAATTTTTATTAAGAACCCAAAAAAATATGTACTAAATTTGACAAAGTTGTGACTAAAGCATTGATGATATTTCAAAACAAAGGACAAATATGAATTAAAAAAAAATTAAGAGGAAAATGAAGTAACTTTAAAAGTAAACAATTATCAAAATTTAAACCAGACCAGTCGAACTCCGTGAAACCAAAAGGCTTAAATGACGTTAATTTTAATTTTGTTGTTCTGAACACTAGTGAAAAAGACCGCAGCTAAAGCTTGTGGTCCTGAATGCCAATTCAATCTTAAATAATAACATTGAGGAAGAAAAACAGCGAGTTCAAACTAGGGAATCAGAAACCTATATTCAATTTAAAAGGACGACAAAATTTGTGTTCCTTGCATTAACTTTTTGTCCCCTTTTTTCTACGTGCGTGTTGTGAGTCCCACGGATTAGTAACTCCCATTAATATTTAAGGCAAAGTCATGCAATCAGAGTCCCCACTTGACCCAAAAACCTAGCCATGTCCTTAAAAACCAAGACCACACACTCCAACCAACAACATCAGTTACTCTTGAATACAAACTTGCCAAAACGTCACAGAATACATATGAATAAAAAAACAAAGTCAACCAAACCAAAATCCTACACATAAATATTATGAGGGGTAAAGGGTAAATAAAATAACACATGTTTCGAAATTCTGAGATTTAACATATATTATATATATAAAAAAAAGTTCTTTCCTCCTTTCCATGGCTTCTTTATAGTTCAAGTGCAACAAGGGCTTTGCTTTTCTTCTATGGTAAAGAGGAAGAAGCATTCCCAAGAGTTGAACCGAGAAGGTCATTGCAGAAGCTGGCCCCTTCTTGAGTCTTGTTCTCTGCCCTTGGACTGCTCCCAGCACTGCTATGTGAAAGTGATCCAAATGCTGTTTTTTGCAATACCCCAGTTGGTGATGACCCTAATGGAGGACTATTGTCCCACCCATCAGTCATAAGGTTGAGAGCAGAGGAGTTCTTAACACATTGATCACTTGCATTGTTGTTGTTATTACTAAGATGCAGAACCTCTCCAAGAGGACCACCCATAGAACTCTCCCAAGTAATTGGAATCCAATTAGCTTGCCTAGTGTTTGATTCATTGAGACCACTTCCCACACCCACACCCAAACCCATTTGAATTGGGTCTAATTCTCTTGATAGCCTAAGAGGTGACAATGTGAGCTTTTCATTGGTGGGTGAGGAAGTGAATGACATGAAGTCCGAGGAACTCATTGGGATGGAAATTGAAAGCTGTGTCCTATCTGACTGCATGTCAAGTTCAGGCCATGAAACACCACCAGAGCGATGATGATGATTATTAGACTGTGTTTTGGGACAGTCATCAATGAAATGCCTAAGGGAATGTAGGGAATGTTGGGACTCTGTGTCTCGGTTAATGGGGTTTTGTGAAGAACCAAAGCTTCTGCTAGTGAGCAAGGTGGAGCTTTTCTGAGAAGGGTTAAGCAAGGAATCAGAAGTGACAAACCCAAACTCGTTACTCTTTGAGGACTCTTCATATGGGAATTGCTGTTTCTCAATCATAAAGTGGTTTTCCTTTGGTTTCAGCTCAAGGGTTGGAGGCAGCATTGGAAGTGCAGGCCCATCCTGCATTCTCTCACTCGCGTTGCTCTCTTTGTTATTCATAAACATCCTGCATGCAAAGCAAACAATCACAACAATCACAATTCCTGAATTTAAAAAAAGAAAAAAGCACCCTTTACACTTAGATAAAGTAACAAAATTTCACACGCCTTAAACCATCTTTTCCCCACCCAAAAAAAAAGAAGAATCTCAACCATTATTTTAACATTGACCAGTCACTATCCCCCCCAAAAGGATGAAATAAATAGATTCTTTTAATTGGGTACATAAACTCCTAAACCAAAAGAAAAGATAAATACACAAATCAGCTGACTTGAGAACAGTTCTAAAATTGGGGACATAAAGTGAAACATAGAAAGATGCTAATCAGGACCTTTTTCTATCATTTTTTCTTTTTTTGGTTCCTCTCACCTGTTGATGGTGTTGGCGACAGAAGCATCAGATGCAAGAGGCTGGTGCATATTCTTAGGTTCTTGGTGTGCAAAGGTAAGGCTGTTGGATGCACTGTTACCGGGCACCACAATAGACAGTGAGGATGAGGAAGCATTGTTGTTAGGGATGAGCTTTGAACTATTTGGCGTAATAGTAGTGGTGGTGGTGGTGGTCCCAGTAAGGGCATGGCCTGATTGGCCTTCCACAGGCTTTCTTGAACGATGGCGTCCTCTGTTCATATGCCGCTCGCAATACTTCTGATCCACAACGGCATCTCTTGAGCACCGCCATTTCTTCCCATCTGTTCTCCTACACCTTCCTGGCTCAGGATCAGTGTTGTTCGAGTATCCCAGATGGAAACCTCCCCACCCCACTGCACCAAAAAACACATAAAAAAAGGAAAACATTATCAAAAATTGATTTTTTTTTTTCTTTTTTAATTTCTCAATCCATTCATCAATTATTAGATTAGTCCAATTCTAAAGTTGCTGAATAGGATCACAATGACAATAAAGCTCTGCCTACTAAGTTTTTAACATAACTGTATATCAACATTTAAAGTTTTCTTTTAAACTTCATTCTTTAACCTTGTCCACTATAAGTCTCATCCTAGTTTTCAGGTTCAACCAAAAAACTGTATTTTTATTTGTGACAGAAAGTAATAGAAAACCAACAAGCATAGGACAACTTGATTTGGATTCTCTTTTTTTTTTTCATCAAAAACACACGAATAAGGAAGTTTATTTGTCCTTTACATAAGTGAGAAAGACAGAAGAAAAAAGAAAGGTCCAAATCTAGGGATAACTATTGAAAGGTCAAAGTTATAAACAGTAAGTAGACAGCCACTATAGGGTCACTTTAGCTTTAATTTTCCTTCCCCATACCCTTAATTTATTATTTTAGTTTTTAGTGGACACTGAATATGATTTTTTGCTATGAAAATCTAATATTGTGGATATATATATATATATAAATATAAAAGAAGGAACTTTATCTTGAATATTATTAGGCAAGGCAAGGGAACATTAACATACATGCATTGGGTCTAAGGAGTCCGGTTGAGAAGTTGCAGAAGCCAGCAGAATCAAGCGCTTTTCTGATTGGGATGAGAAGATGAGAAGGTACAGGCACATTTGCTGATATGTACTTGTAGATCAAGGCCTGGTGTTCCAACTCCATCCACTGAGACGGAGTGAATGGCCCTCTGGCACCAGTATTAACCCCATGCATGATTCCTGAACTGTAACCTGTTGTTGATATATACCCCACAAGATAAGGTCAAACGTTGCAAGAAATGGAAACATGGAAACACAGGTTTAAAAGCCGTTTCACAACCAAGTTAAGAATTTAAAACCAAAAAGAAAAGTTAAAAAAAAAAAAAAAAAAGAGGAGTGGCAGCATAAGACATAGGGTGTTTCATCAATGGTGTGAAACATTTAATAGATGTTCCCTCCTTTGATTTTGAAGAAATAACATTCAAGTCAACTTTTTTGGTGTGATGAGGATATGGAAAAGGAAAGAAAGATTTCAGAGAAAGAGAGTACAGAACCAATCAAATTTTGGACCTTTTTTTTTTTTTTTTTCTCTCTTGCTCCAATATATACTATATAGCTCTAAGCTGGCTTCCTATATTTTTCTCCTTTGGTACCCTCTAGTTTACTGTGCAAAATTTCACTAAACTCCCTCTCCCTAAAACGGGAAGACGCAGATTTTTGGGAAGAATTTTTCGTTTTACTTTTTTTCTCTTGACATGACTTTAAAAACAAGAGACCACTCATATATTTCCATGAAAAGACCCTCCACCGTTACTGTAGAATCAGACCGTGACAACCCCATATTTTAGCCACAGCACAAACATCCAACGTAATCCAAAACACAAACCCCCCTTTTTAAAAAAATAAAAATAAAAAAATAATATTTAATTAAAAATGCTATTGCTATGTGATATAGATATATTTACCTGTATTTCTGCTGTAACTAGAGAATGGGTGGTAAGAATAAGGTAATGTAGCATTTGGGGTGGCCTTGTCTACCAACAAAGGCTCTGATTTTGGAGAAGAGAAACTAAGCATTTGGTTTTGGTGCTGTCCATCAGAAAACAAAGTGGCATTAGATCTCAGCAAAGAGTTCCTCTGCTGAAGCAACATTGCTTTAGAGGCAGATATATCATCAGTCTTAGCAAGTTTGGAGCTTCTCCATTCATCTTCAGTGGTCCCAGATCTTTCTTGCTTATTGAACCCAGATCCATACCACTTATGCTTTGGTTCAGGATCTGAAGCTAGAGAAACAAACCCAGTGTTTGAACCCACCAACCCATCCAAACCCACCACCCCAAGATCCATCCTTCCAAAAACTAGACAAGCATCAAGCAAGCGAAATGGAACATCTCTTACTGTTACAAAGACGACGACAACAATAGTACACAAGCTCCCTTTGGAAAAAGAAAAACACACCTCATAGGAAGAGACCAGAGAAGAGGGTGAAATAGAAATAGAAGATATGCTTGACACCTTAAAGCTAAGCTGAAACTAGAAACCAGACTGGTTTTGTTTTTTTGGGAGTTGATGTCTTAACAAAGATAAAATAATTGGAGAGATAGAGATAGAGATAGAGAGAGAGAGATTAGACTGGTGGGGGAGGAAGAAACTGACTGGACATGTTTTTTTATTTCTAGGACACACTAATAGAAAAAAGTTTGTTTTTTTTTTTTTTTTTGAAGTACCATAATACCAAATTTCATGACAAAAGAATTTAGTATATTATTATTGTTATTATAGTATAGTATAGTAGCTTTGTTTTGAGTCACGGTCTACTCTAGTCTCTTCTGGGAGAGGGCATTTATGGTAACCTACAAAGCAAATCATGGAATGTAGCTGGACTGAGAAGGATGTTAATGTCTTTTTATGCAAGAGCTAGCTATCACCAATTCACCACCAGGTTCGATAATATTTGTCCTTTTTTTTTTTAATTAAGTAAATTCTAAATTTGAAAATGGACAAGCGACGTGGATAATATAAATATTAAAATTTTCATTTTCTAAGCATTCAAGTGGATTAAATAGGTATTAATAGTTATTAGATAGGAACAGTAAAAAGAAGAGAGGTAGTGATTATTATATAATAGTTGTTCTAGTTTGCCTTGCAAAGTCCGCTAGCGGTTTCAAAGATACTTCTCACTCTTCTTTAAGTTAAAAGGCCAAAGAAGTGGTGGGTTGCATGAACAAAGATGCATCGCCACGTGACACAGTCGTCACTCCAAAAATTCTACCTCATCTCTGTCTTATTCTCATTTCAGTTCTCACTCTCTCTCGCCCATGTTCATATACGATGAGATCTCTCGGTCTTTTCTAAATAAAATATTTAGTCCCATACCATTGTAGGATGCACATTGAGTAGATCTATTATATCTCTCTCTACCTTGTCTTTCATTGGGCATTGGCATAACTTGAGGGCAAAGGTATACACTTGCTTAGCTTGTGTTCCTACGATTACTATAATAGAACACAGTTTTGTTCTCCTTTTTAGGTGAGCCAAAAATGCCTATTTTATCTTTCAAACGTTTACTTTATTCCTTCACACTATGACTATGCTAACTAAAAATAAATTTTGGAATGGGGCTTAAAATTTTAATGAATATATAAATGAATTCCTATGTCATTAAATGTGTGGCATTAATTCTTTAATGCCAACGTTATTTAAGGGTATGAAAAATTATATTGTGTAGGATATAGTTCTTCAAAAAGGTTGGTTTGCATTAACACAGTCGCCCAAAGTGCTCACACCATTAGAGGGCTACCGTTTTGTTTTTGTCCTAACGTAATTCTAAAATTATTATTATGGAAGAACAAGACGAACTCGTCAAAGCCAAAAAAGGCCACCTAGAGATAGATAGGTGCCAATGAAGTTTGCTCAATGGTCAAAAGAAACGGTGAACCTTGGACCTTAATTAATTTATTAATACATCAGTAATTAACAATTAATTATACACAACTCAGGATGCATATGTATCAATAATTTATTCATTTAATATATAAAATTTGGAAGCTAGATTTACAAAAGATTTTGTTCTATCCTTGAAATATTTTATGAACGAGATTGGCGTAACATTTTTATTTCTCCCTCATGTGATATATATTGTAGAAAAGCAATTATCTTATTTATGGGAAATATACATGTATTGTAATAGGACAATAATTTTTTTTTCCTGCACTAATAAATTTTGGTGGGCTCTATTATAAAGTAAAAATTAAAATTAAAAGAAATATTAGCACAATTTTCAATGAGTCAGCAAGAATTGTTTTGCTTTTCCTGTTAAAGGACCGATGTATTTCCCCTTATTTATATCCGAAGAAGATGGTAAGACTAATCATAGGGTCGACACAAATTATAAAATCTTATATTCAAGGGAAAACTCTCGCTCACAAATTTTCCCAATTTTTTGTAATACGGGTAAGGGTTGACCTTTGCAAAGTCGGGAGTTTTGTGCATAAAGGTTTGTCTTTTAATGTACGATGTTTATGATATGTGTGAATCCCACGATTTACGGTCTTATCACTCATAAAGATCTAACATTTCGAACTTATATTATGAAAAAAAATAAAATCTATGCATGTAAAATAATATATAAATCACAACCTTGATCGTAAAAGACAACAAAATAGTTCAAGTATAAAAGAAAATTCCAAATCATTATCAAATCCAAATCATTTAAGTCACAATCTATCAAAACAAAGAAATGAGAGAAGAGAATGCACCAGACAAAAGAGGAAATGCATCACACCGAAGTTGCAGATGCAAATCTCGAAGACAAGATGAAACAAAGAAAACAAAGTCAAATGTGAGGGTTGGGACATTGGGTGTCACACGATATATATAGTGGGGATCGAGCTTAGTTAGGGTTTCTTTCTTTTTGTCTGTAGTAGTTGGGTGACTTGATTAAAATATTGGGTCATTTTAAAGTCACTCAAGTCGGGTCATTTTAAGGCCATTCAAGTCGGGTCATTAAAAAAATGAACGAGTTAAAATTTTGGGTAAATTTTTCATAAAATGAAAGGCATTACCATATTGAACAATCCCATTGTTTCAGCAATCTTTCCTTATGATCTGAATAATCCCATCATTTTCTGATTCGACAACCGTTTTGGATCGATCATAAACAAAAAGATCACAAAATTGTATGATATTACAATTTGGAATGCGATTTTGACTACCATGTAGTATAGTACTCCATGTATTGCAAAATTTAAGAGGATTACTGAAATGGAAATAAAAAACACAAGATCACACTCTTACACACACCTATTTTGGAAGAAAATACGGGATTTGAATTCAGCTGAAGGAACCTTGCCTCAAGCACACAAACAAGTGCACAAATTTTTTTTTCTTATCTGTTGATCTTTATTCAAATAATTCAAGGTTTAAATAGATAATACAAGTCAACCATAAAAGTAACTACACATTAACCCTAGATAAGCTACACTAATAGCTATGACCTATCCTTTTGTAAACTTGAAATTCAAATAACAAAACAAACAAAATAACTACCCACTACTTAAACAATCCAACAATTCAGAAAATAATAAAATAATAAAAATAGTTGTAACATTCTCTCCCCCTAAATTTACTCTTGTCATCAAGAGTAAGATCAACATCAAGTAATTGAATCATCTTCAATATCCATGTCCGCCTCTCCATTGTTGCTGATTGAAAAAATGTCCTCTAGCCATAACTCTTTCTTTCTTCTTCTCAAAGAATTGTAGAAGTGAATTTCTTATTAGACCAAAAATTTGGGGTCTTGGTCGAGAGGCCATATTTAAGTAAGACACTTCGACCGCATTCAAATTTTTAATAGCAATGGTAGTGTTAACGTGGGTTACTCGTTTGGTAAAGAGAAATAGATCAATATTTGGGTGTGGAAGTCTCAGGAATGAAATGAGAGAGTTTTGTGGTTGATACGAGAGCATCTAACCGATTGGAGAGTTTGATCAACATCTTCTTCAATTGAATGGAGAGTGCATGAATTGCATCTTCTTGTTTTTCCAATCGTTTCTCCATGCCTAGTGCCTGGTCCAATACCAAGTTGTTACATACACTTATTTAGAAAGAAAATAAGGGATTTTTTTGGAAATGAAGGGAAAACATAAGACAGATAAACATGCCTATTGGCGAATCATTCTGGCAAACCTAGTTCCTATCAGGTCATCTATTACTAACTGCCTACACTCAAAGAGAGGATCTGAGAAGAGACGAGTTTCCCAATTCTAGTCTTCGACGTAGGTTGCTAGCCAGTCAGCAACCCTATTTCCTTCCCGATTAATATGGGAGCAGAAAACCCTCCGGTCCTTGTGCAAATCTCTGATTCTGTGAATGAGGGGGGCGAAAGGGTGGGAGTTGTCACACCCTTTGTCAATAACTTGCAGAGTTGTAATGGAGTCAGATTCCATCCAGACAAGGCGAAAGCTTCTATCCCAAGCAATCTCTAAGGCTAACAAGATACCCCATAATTCTGCTCCAAAGGAGTTACTAGAACCTAGGTTCTTATTGAAGTAAACTAACCAACACCCCCTATTATCTCTCAAAACACCACCACAACCAGATTTCTTCCCATTTTGACAAGTAAATCCATCTGAGTTAGCCTTTACCCAACCTTCCTCAGGGAACGTGCACCCTATGAAAGTTTTCTTGCGAGTATTAGGAGATAACCCCGACGAGGCAATGGAAGCATCAATATGGAGAAAGGAGTAAACAAAAATTTGAACATTGCAGGTAGCACTAGAAGGGGAAGTGGATCTGTTATTAAAGACCAAATCATTCCTGAATTTCCAAATAAACCAACAAGAGGAATCAAAGATTTGGCTATGCAGCTTTTAGGGGGAGTTGGGGTCATCCCTCCGAAGGTTGAAGGATAACCAATCAAGAAGGTTACCATTGAAAAACCCATCATTATAGCTATCAAGAAAGGTAAGCGTCCAAGTTTCCTTAGCCCAAGGGAGGACCCTGAAAACATGAAGGCAATCTTTCACAAGATGGTTGCACCGAAGAATCACACATGTTCCTGTTGGCTCTATTGTCGTTAGTCATAAGCTTGTTCCCCAAGAGTAACTAGAGGAAGCTCTTGATTCTTTGAGGGCCATCCCCTTCCCAAGGTAGAGACCACTTGACTCCCAAGGAATTATGATGGAGGCCAATTAAGGATGCATACATTGCTTTCACCGAGAATCTCCCATCTTTGAAATTTTCCCAGGTGACTTTATCCTCACTTTCTATGGGAAAGGAGGAATTATACTCGCTATACCATTGCATGCTTCGTCAGATAAAAGGCTCATAAACAAGCTCCAGTTCCAAGCACCCTCTTGCGCAGTGCAATATACAATAAACCATGAAGTGACCTCCTCGAGAATAGGAACAATAGTATGGTTTGAGAGAGTGCCAAAGTTGTGAACTCAATT